AGAATTCCCCAGCCAGCCCTGCTGGCTGGGGAATTCTGGGAGTTGAAGTCCACCCATCTTAAAGTTCCCAAGGTTGAGAAACACCACCCTATACATGGAAAAAACTGAGTGATCATTCAATCAAAATTTCAATTATCCATGTCTTTTAAAATACATAATCTCATTCATGTACCTTTCAATCATACTGAGCATGAGAACAGTACTCCGTCCCCATCATTAAAATTGTATTCAACTTCAAATTATTAATCTTGCATAACTCCAAATCCTGCATTACTGCACTGATGGGAAGGGCAAATGACAAAATCTAAAAATTTTCTACCTCAGCCAGAAAAAAACTTTTACCTGAAATTATTTCTCTTGGGGAATAAAACAATCATCTCCTTCCCTCTCTTTCCAATATTCCAAGGGGATGTCATTGCTTGGGCAACCAAAATTGAATCAGCCATCACCAAGATTATTCAAACATTCATTCTTGCCTTGAAGACCTACATTAACCTAACCTGCTTTGGAAAATCTCCAACAATTAAACTTTCAGTGGCTATTTCAAGCATAGCAGCCTATAACAGACTTGGCAAAAATAGCTCCAAACTTATTCTTGGGGGGTGGGGGGGAACAGGCCCCAATAGTCAGCTCCGTGGTCTTTCAGAAGACCAAAACCCTAACATCGTTCTTTCAGTAGTTTCAATGACCACATAAATTAACTTATTCCATAATCGTGTCCCCTCCAAACAATTCAGTCTGTATTTCCTGTTCTCACTGATGGATAATCCAGAATCATCAGTGAAAATCCATAGGAGAACCTCAAACAACCTCAACCATAAACAAGAACTCCCTGTGTCCCTTACCTACAACAGAGGAATGGTTGGTGATGACAGAATTTGCAGAAATGACAAAATTGACTTGTTTGATTAGGGAAAAGACAATAAGTACATTTATTAATGACTGGAAACCCCTTATGGACTTTTTGCTGAAAATGGAAAAAAAATGAACTGATGATTTATGGTTTTGTTGCTTAGAAAGGTTAAAATATGGGAAGAAGGAAATCATGATATAACCATAAAGAGAGAGAACAGATGATGAATTTGTTTGTAACTGCTACAAAGAAGATCAGAAGCTGCTACTTTATACTTTTTCTTTTTCTCTTTTCTTTATTCACTTTTCTTTACTCTTCTGTTTCTTAAATTTGTATTGTATATTGTATATCATTCTTCAATAAAAATGAATAATAATAATAATAATAATAATAATAATAATAATAATAATAATAATAATAATTAGAACTCTCTGCATCCCTCACTATCAGCCATGGTTCATAGAGATGCTGGACTCGCTAGTTGGAATGCTACAAGCTACGACCTCATGTATGGAACAGAGGTATGAACTTTGATAGCAGAGACTACAGGTAATACTTCTAATGTAGGGGAGTAAAACCTGAACCCCCAGGGTCACATATGGTTCCCCAAAACCATAGATGTAGCCAAGAATGTCCATTGGGGAGGGGGGTCAAAAATGTCCAGATGGCAGCTGAATTGTATGGTTCCAGATGCCATCTTGATTTTTTTTTTTTTGAACCCCCCCATGGATGATCCCTACAAAAATTGCTGCTATTCCCAGATGTTGCAGAAGGGGCCAATGATTAAATACATGGAGAGTAATCATATCAATGGTAATTAAAGTTAAAGTTAATGTTAGTTTAAATTAAACACTGGGTTATTTATTTATTTATGTATTGGTCTTGGCCCTGTCCCTTTCATAGTCTTGGATCACCCCTTGATTAGTGCTATCTCGACCTGCTTCTTGGAGGGCAAAATCAAAAAAGGTTGCCAATCTGAATCTCTATTCTAATCGGTTAGAATGTTTTCTCTCTTATCCACACACAAACACTGCAAAAGAAGCATTCAGACAACTTGCCAGCTTGAAACTTTTAGACAAGTCCTTATGCAATGAAAGCTTCAGGAATATCACATTATTGTGTGGCATTCACTGTTCTTAAACGAAGAGAAACAGGCATCATCTTGAAAAATACACATTATTAACATTTACTTATGCTAAGAAAACCATAAGCGACTTATTATAACTATGCAAGTTTAAACCATAATTATAATTCCAGTTTAAACCAATAACACTGAAGAAAGCTTGGTGTATCTTAATGTACGCCTTGTTTACTACCATCTCAGCCTCAAATAATCTCCAGAAAAATCACTAATCCATGCTGAGCTCCGAGGGCCTTTGCCAGTGAGGCAACTGTTGTGAAGATCAGCACTCCCTTGCCCCCAAAAAGAACACCTTCAAAAAATGGGAGTGATTCCCCTAAACTGAAGATTGCTCACACTCCAATTTTTTTAATAGGCCCAATGCATCAAGTATAATCTGATCCAGACACATAATTCAAACTTTAGACGCTAACATGTTACCACCGGGTTATTCAACATGATGCCCAGAGGCTGCTGGGTGTATTCATGGACATCTTGACGCCACCACTCTCTTTATCCCATCTGGCTTAATGACAAAGTTGGGCAGTTAGCATGTTGCAAATCAAAGTGACAACCTCCAGCGCTATCCTTAATTCCAAAAAAGACTCTTGGCAGAACACTACGACAAAGTGGCAGCCCAGCACTTCCTGTGGAAGGATCCTCATCTGTGCATTATAAGAGGAAGCCACGAGCACGGTGCAGCTAGAGGAGATGGCAAGGAACGTTCTGGCAAATGGATGCTCTGTAATTGGTTAAGTCCCCCTTGCCAGCCATTTGATGAACGGGCAAGCCCCCTCAGAAGCCATCTCGTGAGAGGGCCATCAACACGTTCTCAAAATTGCAGATATGTTTGTCATCCCTGTCAAACTGGAGCCCTTCCAACACACAGGGCTGAATGTTGAATAACCCTTCTGGAACTGGCAAGGTTGGTTTTCTTCACAGAACATGCAGGAAGCTGGATCCAAAAAGAGGAAGAGGATAAGATAGCAATCATCATCGATTCTTCCTTCACTCCAGCATACCCCATCGAACCATGTTAGTTTAGGAGAGACTCTTGGAAGTCCACATGAATTAGTGATTTTCCTTGCTACTACCACAGGCTGAGATGATAGTAAAAGCAAAACTCCAAAGGCCCTCTCCATATTGCTTCCTTCCATTAAGTACCGCTCTGAATCAAAAACTACACCCAACATTTAAGGGCAAGGCTTCAACAGTGTACTCGTAGAATCTGACCGCAGACATGATCAGAAAAAATCCTTAAAATCGAACCTCACAAGGGCATTAACACTGCCTCAGTCTAGCAATTGTGAATAAATATGCCAACTCTTGTCCCCTTACAACGGAGGAGGGGAAACACATTTTCCCACCAGGAAAGGCAGATCCGGAGTTTTTAAGCTGCAAAATTTGTAAAGCACTTGGCTATGCCAGTCCAGGGAACAGGGACAGAATTCAGGTTTTGGGAGTTTTCTCCCCCCCCCCTTTTATAAAAGTGTGTTAAGCCTTAACCCTCCTATTTCACTGCTTACTTTTCAAGGAAAGGGGGAACAAATTTGCTGTAATAATTTGGCGAGACAATCACAGCACGGTTCATGGCAAAATGCAACCCACTGGCTACCCACGCTTTTCTTCCAACAACCCTTACAGGGAATTAAAAGAACGTTAAAAAGTATTAATAGTTGATAAAGCAGAAAGAGAATGAATATGCCTTGAGAAGCTGGAATGCAAATCTAACTTTCATCATCAATTTTGAAGGTTTGCATCACAAATCTAGTTTTAGACTGGCCATGCAGTGGGAATATGCCAATGTTTCTCTGAAACTGCCATGATTGATCTCTTTCACTGCATATTTAAAGAGATTACAAATCTGTATCTCTTATACGGAGACAGGTGCACCATTTTCAATTGCAGTGTCCACAAGCAAACAAGAGTTTAGAGACATACACTTAAATGTTAGCACCATGCTACATACTTATTTCATTCATTGCAAAGAAGATCTAAATAAAACAAAACCAAAAAAAAAATTCAGTGGAAAGCTATTGGCGTTAATCGGCAGATAACAGAAACGCAGTTAGATGCAAATTGGTGAATTGCTGATTCTAGCACATAGCTTGCTATAAAGCACATAAGCGTCAACATGGATCCTAAAAGCAGAAATTCCAATTAAAGAACCAGTATGCCTCTGAGTGTCATATGCTGGAGAGAAAGACTGGTAAGTGTTTAGAGACAGCTGGCTGATTATTATGGGAAATAAAAATGTTGGACTAGAGATGGAGATTCGAGTGATCCGCCAGCTTGTACTTACATTCTTTAGAACACAGCCAAATTTGGTAAGATTTAGTAGTGATAAAATAGATTTTCTGGGGGAAAGCAAAACCCAAAATCTAAGAACCAAATTTTCCTAGAAAGCTGCCCAGGTTAGACTGTTTCGAACATCTCCTTCCCAGAGCCCCATCAGAGGTGCTTATGATCAAAACACTTTAACATCTAACTTTTAGAGGAATTGGAGCACTACGTATCTTCAGTATTCTTCACACATGTGCCTCTAACACTGAGCAGATGCCTGTAGGAAATAGACAAGAGGTTGTAGGTAGCAAGAACGCCTAGGTGGCCAAACATGGAGTCTTCCAAGCGTCTTGTTTTTTTCTCTCCAGAAGCAGAAATTGCATGCTGAAGATGTCAGGCCAAATGAAAAAGTACGCAAGTTGAGTCAAAGGACCAAGATGGCACCCATTGGGTTATGTCAATATACCGTTGGCCAGGTGGCTGTTCCCTCCATGTTGAATAATGTCACTTAAAGTGCGTTTCATTTTTTCATAGCAGGCAAAGTACAACGCGTGGGCCGGGCCAGCTCCAAGGACAGTGACGTTGATTCCTCGCAGAGGCCGCCAGATGCCCTCCGTACGGACGATCTTCCTCAAGGCCTCAAAGACAGTTCGGTACTGAGCTTTGGGATCAGGTTGTAAGCTCTGCATCCGAGTCTGCAAGGGAAAAAAAAGAGGGATGATGTACAGGAGAAGAAAAAGGCCCTATGCTGGGGGCACAACTTGGGGGGGCACACTTAGTCTTGGAACAGCCCACTGGCACAGAAAAAGTAGGCAGGGAGAGGGGGGGAAAGCGGGTGGAGCCCAGACAAAGCTAAATGTCATTTAACTGAATGTAGAGTTAAGCGGAACATCAAAAAAATCATGAATTAAATATAAGGAATATGATTATTTCCCTCAATGCAGTAGGAAAAAAAGCCTCTAAAAAGCCAAGCATTTAAGCACGTACTTCTATAAAATGCCAGAAGGGGGTGCTACAAGCCTGCCCAACATGGCAGTGCCCTCTCCAGCACACTGCTTCCAAGGCCCTTTACAGTCAATGTGTACCTACTTCACTGGAAACCACAGAAGAGAACAGCGCACGCTTTTGGGGCAGATCTCAGCAGGGGATACCCATCTTAAGCCAATATATAATGGCCAGAAATTGTTATAGCTCTAATACAAACCTGTAACCTGAGAAGCTCTGTTAGATAGCCACTGGTTACTACTACTGGTAGGTAGGTAGGATTTCCATTGTGCCTTTCCACCAGGAGCTCCTCCAGAAGCATTCCCTCCTCCAACTTTTTCCCCCAACCACCACCACATGAGAAACGTTGAGTTGAAAGATAGCCATTGGCCAAAACTCACCAATGAGTTTCCATGGTTAAGGATGGAGCTGAACCTGACTCTCCTGGTCCTAGTGCAACACATGAAATACTACTCACACTTCTTAGATGGGAGTATATCTAGGAAGCTGAATCCCAGGAGTAGCAAGAAAGAGATAAATGACCAACCACAAACTAAGCAAAGCAGTGGAACTCAGATGCCCCTTAATCATGAATGGTTAACAAAGAGGAATGTGCAAATACCACTTTTTTAACAAAAGCAGCAGCAGCAAAATAGGCAACCTTTATTCAAATCAGCCACTTCTCCAACAGATGAAAGATGTAAATCTAGAAACGTTGGAGCAGGGGTGACCAGGAGTCTACCTACCTAATTTAATTTTTTATAATAAAAATAATAAATTATAATAAGGGTAAAAATAAGTCCATCTACCATAGTGAGAAAGATGCCCTCCTGAGGGAGAATCAGTATGGGTTTTGAAAGGAAAACTGTACTTTACCAATGTTTTTATTCTTTAAGGATGTCAAAGCACACTTGGATAAACACAAAGAGCTTTCCCCAGAATTCATTACCGAGGGCTTTTGAAGAAGCAGAGTAGCAACCTCTGCTAAAGAAGAGGAAGCCAAGTGGGAGAGCAGACATTTTTCAAAATGAAAGGATATAAACAGTCCTACAATATTAAGATCATTTGATATGTAACCCAAACATGGAATCATCCAGATGTATTTGACCCTAGCATCCATCCTCCCCAGTCAATGTGGCCTCTACTCTGGGATAATTAATGTTTTATCCAGCAATTACTGAACTACCCATAGGATGACGAAAGTTACCTACTGTACAATCAGAGTGGAGATATGAGGTTAGTAAATACTTCACAATAATCAAACCTAAGTCATTCCAAAATGCCACTCAGCTTGGCAAGAAATAAAAGAAAATCAGCTTAAAATTTAAAATATAAAATGATGCCCTTTGGAGAACTGAGACCCAGACACACGTAATTACGCAAACTGGCACTCACTAACCAGAAAAAGAGATCTTCTGGTACAGTAAAAATAAATCTTTATATCCATGAATGTAGTCCCTCTACATTAAAATAAACAGCAAGCCTTCATTTGAGCTGGGCCTCCACAAGGTATGAATGGGCAGCAAAGCATTACCACCTTGACATGCTGGAAGAGCTCAGCAGCTTCAGAGAGCCTGAGATTAAATGTTAAGAGGATCACGAGCTCCTGACAGGGCCACTTTTGCTGCTAAGGCTGAAAAGGGAGGGGGAACCTAATTCATTGCAAGAGGAAGGGCAGGTGAAACCCTATAAGCATAAGGGAAACCAATCTACCTGGGAGAAGAAACTCCAAAGTCAAATCTAGAAGACAACAGCAAACCACTTCTATATGGTAGCCAAGAAAACTCACAAGGATGACTGAAATGATTAGACAAGTGTGGTGCCAGACAACAAACTATTCAAGAAATATTCATTAACAGCTCCTCCCCAAAATGGAGAAAGATTCCAAATGGGATGTCATGGAGCCTGGCCTCGCCTAGTAGATATCACTGTTTAGGTCAAGGATGAGGATGAAGGGCACCTATCCCCAGTCTGTAGATGACCTAAAATTGGAAGGGACCATTGAACAACACAGAAGTCAAGAAGAACATTCAAAATCTCTTTGGCAGAAAGGAAATTTGGACGGAAACAAAATGCAACTGAGAATCAAATGGATTTTTTTTTCCATTTATGCAGAAAAAAAATAGAATGAACAGGTTAGTCTACCATGAGTAAGCAACGCAGTGTAGCAGTAAAAGTCTACAGCAATGCTAGGCTACATTACAAAAACCACAGTTTACAAGCCACAGGAAGTGTTTATTTACGAGTCGCTCTGTAAGAAAAAGATGTTCAGAACAAACCATGAAACACAATCAGAACACAAACCAATGGACATATTTTGACAATAGATATAAAAATAACTAAAAGCAGCACCAAAAGTGCATACCAATTTCAATTAATATCTCAAAAAAACCAGATGCCCCATTATAGAGTATTCTTTTTTCAATATTTCAGTCATATAAATTGGAGTGTAGAATTATACGCTATAAAAAATATCTGGGAGAATTATTTTAAAAAATTGCTAAGTGCCAAAAAAAAAAAAGGAGAGGAAGGAAGAGGAGAAGAGCAGAACAGATGTTAGAGCTAAATGATATTACAGTAAGTTTGCACTAAACTTGCTTTCGGCTTAGCATGTTATGTGAGGATTGCCACTACAATATACAGACCGTGGTTTATGACAGCATGCTGTGCTGATTCAATTGTGCTAATTCGGTTGTGCATTACACATAAGCTGTGTTAAAACATGGCTTTACATCAGGGGTTCTCAAACTACGGCCCACGGGCCGGATACGGCCCGCCAGGGTCATTTATCTGGCCCGCCCGCCTGATTGGCCGCCACTGCTGTCTGTCAGAAGTGGAAGTGTCGGGGCTGTATCGGGAGTTGCAGGCGAGGCACGAGGAGGGAGATCGCA